CATTTCTGGGCAGCTCCAAACAACCAGAACGAAGAAATATTGGAAGAAAGAAACGTTGGATAGAACCAAAGGTATTTATTGAGAAGGGCGCTGTTCAATTTACATGGGATATACTTTCGATTTATTCTGTCCCGAAGTCTCATGTTGATCTAAATGTGTAATAAACATGTGAGACCTCAAAATTTATTGCAAAAGACATAAAACTTTCTACAAAAGAAATTGCAAAAATGTGTGTTTGCAAAAGTTTTGCAAAAGCTTAGGCCTTTTTGGCGAGCTTTCGACGCTTAGCGCCTTTGTCGAGCCTGAAATGAAAATTAGAAGCTTTCTTAAAGTCTGTTAATATATTAAAATATATTAACTGACCCACCTGCTGTCCACTTCTCAAAAGTGTAACACTTACCACCCTTGTCGGTCTGTGAAGCAGGAACTGTTCCCTACCCTAGACTTACCCTTAAATAGCGTTGACGTGCTACGACCGTTATTTCCCAAAATATCGCATTCATTCCACAGTGATGATAACTGCAGTCATGCGATGAGTTGAAGAGAGTCACGTAACTCGTCTCTGCTATTTATTTCCGGGGCTAGTCTTTTTATTTCCAGAGCCTCCAGTATTTTGCGTTCATGTATCACATGGGATAGTTGAAGTCCGGAAAAGTCTATAAGGGGGCGAAAAAACGCGGTTTTGTAGAGCCGTCTGCCCTCCTTCCACCTTCTTCCTCCCAATGGAAACGACCCATTTTTCTTAAGGATGTGACCTACAATTTAGAATGATTCTCTCATGACCAGTAGCTTCGCGCCGCACTAGCTAGGTTCGATCCACAAATAGGAACAAGACTTCACAAAGGCGAAACGGCCACGGAAGAGTAGGATTGCATTGTCTACTGCGGACCGGCACAAGGCTGATCCGAGCACAGCGCGAACTATTACAGTGGGATAGCATTCTCTACAAGGTGCCAAGATATCTCGTAGCCCTGACACATGCGTCCAACAAGGGCTCCCATAAATAGGCCAACTTTTCTCCGCGATGTACCTCAGCCGCCGACAGAAGAACCGACCCTGCAAAAATTGAACTAGCTGGAGTACTGAACTATACCACTCGTCTCAATCACTAGACCTCTTACCCATTCACTGCCACTTTTTTAACCGTCTGGATATATTGGAATAGCCATACTATTATATGTCATGTGCAAAACATAGAACATAGAGTTGGATGTGAAAAGAATACATTATATTCATGTTTGTATGGAAGCTCCCTTGATCCCTTCATCATGCACGCGGTGGTTACTCCACGCGACATAAGGCGCATGGTGTATGCCTCTTGATGGATTACTGTAGACCATCTCATTCTCATGGACGTAGATATAATCATGTGTGGAATCCAAGGTTTGATTGTTCTTCGACCTGAGCGAATAACCTGTCAAAAAGAACTTTTCAAGTATTGCCTTGTGGATTCCATGGATGTGATGTGACAGCGAATATCCTGCAGCCCTGATGAAACTTATGTAACAAAAGCGATGATTTTAACGTATTTCTATTGAATACTGCTGTTTTATGCCGCAGTTCGCGCTGCGAAGTTATCACAAGCTGAGCTGCGAGATAACTGTTTTTGTTCAGGGAATATTATTGAAACTCTAAGAAGATGCTTTGTAATATGGAGCTTTAGTCTTTTTCGACTGCGGTAGCGTCCTTGTTGATGGTGTTGTTGACGTTGCGTTGGCTTGACTTGGTTTCGAATGACGGTAGAACTAGCACATTGGAGGCGACGTCAGCAATCTGATTGAGAAATATTTTACATTGCCATGGCATCAATCTATCTTCTCCTTTTCTGGGCTGGATTCCGAGACTTATTGCGGGATGCTTGATTGGAATATCGTCTCCGATGGAGCTATAAAAATCCACAATTCGTGCTTCAAATCCTCTTGCCGGTCCGGACAAAAATTCCGCCATTTTCTTACAAACTGTCCCGATGAGTCTCCATTCGGATTCCTCTGTTCAACTCGAAGGGAGGTGGGAACAGCTCCATCGTCCCGCCACATTGAAGATGTCTCTCCACAGCATGCTGCACGAGTAGCATATGCTGTGTATTTGGTAGTTCATTTGGCCACACCCAAACTAAAGCCGATGAAATACTTTGCTTCTGTAGTTGGTCGGCCAAGGTCACCAAAGTGTGTGTACACAATGAACTTACAGTCGCGGGCTCCAAAAGATCAGTCAATACTCTTCCGAATTGTTTGGGAAGGGCGACCATTATTGGGTTCCCTGGCATGTCGTCCGCGGACTGTGTACTTATCTGCGATCTTCGTGCCATCGCCATTCTGTAGTAGAGCTCGATATCATAGCCCGGGTTTGTAGGGAACAACGGCGGGTGCGACAGCTCCACATCATCTTTTTCCTTCACAGCCGAAGCAAATTCGTAACAGAATTTGCTATGCGCATGGATCGCTGTTGCTAATCAGTGTATATGTAGTCAGGTATCTTGAATCCTTGTTTAGCAACTCAGCTTCTTTGCGATCTTCTCCCCAATGTGGGTGTAGCGCTATCGACGCTACATTAGCCAATTCGAATAGATTCTTCACTGGCTTGGAGCGGAGCCAGATCACAGCGGAGTCCGGGAAGTCCGACTTGAACTCTCGTGTTGGAAATTCCACATTTACATGGGTATAGTACATAGATGAAGCGGGCCGAATCGTGGGTCTCCAACCTCGACTCTGAAAGAAATACGATTAGCTGACACCTTCACATCAGCCTTTCTGGGTCTACCCCTCTTAGCTCTCCGCCTATTTGTAGACTACCGGTTCGCTATCTAAGCCTGGTGGCAACTTTCGGAGTTGATCAAAGGGGATACACAGCGGGTCTTTGTCTCCAGTTATGGCTGTTATTGTCGCACTATTATCAGTGACTCCCAAGACTCTGAATGGTCCAGTCCAATCATTCACTAGCTTGGGGTGGCATGTGTTAGCCTTCTCTGTCGGTACCCGCATATAGACCCTATCACCAGTTTTAAGGGGTTTGGCTACCACGTTATGGTTACGATCGTAGCTTCTTTTCATGGCTTCGCGCTCTTCGCTCATTCTTCTCTCGCGCATTTTGCCGTGCTACTTTCGTTCCCGCGAGGAGCTCCTGAATGTAGTCGTCAAAATCAACCATGTAAGGTGTTATTTCTCTTTCTGGTACCGTTTCCCATGGCACCTTGGCATCGAATCCGTGCATGAGGAAGAAAGGGGATTCACCCGTTGCTTCGTGCGCTGCTGTATTATATGCGATCATGCAGTGGGGAAGCAATTTGTCCCATTCCTGTGGGACATCCACCTTTTTCCTTAGAAGCCCGATAATGGTCCTGTTGAACCGTTCTGTTATGCCGTTTTCACGCGGGTTATAACCTTTGGTGAAAATTTGTCGAATACCTAGGAGAGACGATAGTTCCGACATAAGCTTATTATCAAATTCTCCCCTTGGTCAGAGAGGATACATTTGGGAATGCGACAGCCGTCCGCCATCCAGCGTTCAAAAAGCGTGCGCGCTATTGTTTCCGCTGATTTTGAGGCGACGGGGTACGCTCCTCCGAACTTGGTGAAGTGGTCGATAACGGACAAAATGTACTTGTTTCCACTGGAAGTGGGTCCCATTTCCAATAGGTCTACCCCGATCATCTCGAATGGCTGTGTAGACACTATTGGCTTTAGCGGTGGTGTCATCTGAGGTTGTGCGTTGAACAGCACACTTTTTGCACTCTTCGACCCACAGACGTATATCACGACTCATGTTTTCCCAGAAAACCCGTTTGGTCAATTCCTCGAAGCACCTTTTTGGTTCCAAAATGACTTGCTAGTAGTGCAGAATGAGCATCGTGGAACACCTGTTTCCTGTATACTTTCGGAACCACCTAAAGTTATCCTTGTCCAGAAAACACAGATACCCATCTTGTAGCACGAAATCGGCTACTTTCATCTTTCGGATCTGATTCGGGAACACCACTTCCTGCGACAGCGTGCCATTTTCCAAGCGCTGAAATCACCTTTCCATATATGCTGTCTGTTCTAAGCTCTTGTGTCCACTTTGGCTCTTCCGTTGTGGATGCAACGATCAGCTCATTTGGGATGCTACTGCTTCCTTCCAGATTCGCCGCGTCCACTGCTCCTCTGCTCAAAGCGTCGGCAACCCTATTCGCTGCTCCTTTCACGTACACAAATTTTATATTGTACGCTTGCAACTCCAGCGCCCAGCGAAGTACCCGCGCTGATACATTTGAGCGTGTAAACAACGCTGTTAACGGTTGGTGATCCGTAAAAACTTGGACTGGTAAACCGTATACGAACATATGGAACCTTCTCAGAGCTGTAACGACAGCGAGTGCTTCCAAATCTGTGATGTGTTAGTTGCGTTCACTCTTGTTCAAGCCTTTTGATGCAAAGAATATCGGGTGAAGTTGTCGTCTCCTTTTGGCTCAACACTGCACCTACTCCTGAGTATCTGGCGTCCGTATGGATACAAAACGGCCT